AGGTGTCCCAGAGAAGGAATCTGTTGAAAGTTGGACCTCAACTATTCAGGATGATTTTTAATGAATTTCTGAAATTTCCATAATTGTATTGACTGTATTGGGCTGTACCATTGTAATTTGTGTGCGCGCGTGCGCGTGGGATATAAAGCGAAAAGGCGCTACCGTAAAGACTGGTGTAAAAGCGCAAGGAAATTTATGCGGCGGATAGGAGGCGGCTGGCTTGACCGCGGCTCACAAATGACGGCTCACTTTACTGCGGTTTTATGCCCACAAAGGTAAAAGCTGCTTCACTGGAATGTCACTGAAGCTGCCACAAAGAAAAGGAAGTTCTTTGTTACAATAAAGGCTGTGAAGCTATGTGACTAGCTAACCAGGTGAAGTCACTTATTCTCAGGGGATGTTGCCATCAAACGTCAGGTTTCTTTTAAGGTTTGTAGAAAGTTGGTAAAACGTTAAAAAAAAAATGCATAGAAGTACTTGATGTAATCATTTTTTGTGTGACTGTCTTTCACATTGTTTTTGATTAACTCCTTTGTTTTGCTTCATTGAGGTTTGCTGGCATTCATTTTTGCACACCTCTCTTAAAGCCCCCCATAGCATTTCAGTCAGGTTGAGGTCTGGACTTTGTGCCATTTCAACATCTGGATTCTTTTGACTCGATGCCACCAAGGTGCAGGTCTGCAAAACAAGCCCAAACCATCACCTGTCCTCCCCCGCGGTTGATAGTTGATATGAGGTGTTTGTGCTGCTGTGCTGTGTTTGGTTTTCGGCAAACATCTCCACTTTGCTCTAGTCTGTCCAAAGGAAATTGTTCCAAAACTCTTGTTGTCTGTTCAGATGCAACTTTGCAAACCTAAGCCATCGAGATATTTTTGGAGAAAAGAGCCTTTCTCCTGGTAACCCTCAAAATCATTTTGCTAGTAGAAGCAAGTGTTTGTTTTAAGTTCATTTGCAGTAATATTTTGACTCTACAAAACATCAACTTTGACTGTTTTTAAGGATATAGAGGTTAAAGGGAAGCTGTAATACCCCTTAAAAGGGGTAAAAGCACCTCATAGATGTCAGTTAAAGCTTTGGATGAGTCTACAACTCCACATCTGTAGACTTAAAGATTAAAAGTTACTTTTTTCAATTTTTTCCACTTCAACTTCCAAAGAATTCCCTGAGCAGATGTCTTTTTTTTTTTAAATCCTGCAGCATGGCCCTTGTGGAGAGCATTCCCGAACATATGAAATACAAAGGCAACGTAACATTTGGGATCCCTCTTGAACAAGTCTGGAACAATCTCATCTCAGTGGCAACAAACGAAGTGGATGTGGTCTCTTTCTACTGGACGTTAACTGGGGAAGACATCAGTGTCAACTCTTCCTCTGATATGCCCGTGAGTTACCAGCTGCAGTGGATCGTTGTGTTCCTCATTAAAACATCCCTACAAACTTTTTTCTTCTAATGTTTTCATTGTGTCCTTGGCAGGGAAGGAACATCCTGAAAGAGCTTGAAGAGCTTCCTTCGAGGAATGTGACTGTCCGAGTGATAACGAGTGTTCCCACCGTCAGAACAAACTCCACCGATTTACAGATCTTAAAACAAAAAGGTTTGCTTTCTCTTCAACAAAGTCTTGTAGGGCACCAACTCTTTGCACCAGCACCACCTTGACCCTTGTCTTTTTCTTCCTGCCTGCAGGAGTTCATGTGAGAAAGGTGGACTTTGGCCGCCTTGCAAACGGCGTTCTTCACAGCAAGTTCTGGATTGTCGATAGGAAACACGTGTTTATTGGAAGCGCCAACATGGACTGGAGGGCTTTAACACAGGTGAACGCTCACATTAGACAATCAAAGGTACTTTGCTATTTTGAACCTTTAGAAACGCTGCTAAACAATTTAAAGAGTTACTTTTAACTGCAGGTGAAGGAACTAGGAGTTGTGATCTACAACTGCTCCAGTCTTGCGAAGGACCTTCGTAAAATCTTCCAGTCCTACTGGGTGATGGGTCAACCCAACAGCTCCTTGCCACAGCCTTGGCCTGCAAACTATAACACAGACATCAACAAACAACACCCCCTGCTGGTGAAAGAGAATAACATCTCCACCCGGCTGTATGTGGCAGTAAGTTCATTAGGTTTCAGTTCCTTTTTAAAGGATACTGTTAGGTTTTCTTTATCATTAATAGAGAAAGGGTTGTAGTCTGCAGCTATGTCTACAAAAACATACTTAAAACCTGTGGTTATGAATCAAGTGCTCCTGTTGATTTCTTGTGTTTCACTCCAGGCTTCTCCTCCATCCTTCTGTCCTCCATCGAGGACTCAGGACCTGGATGCTATTCTCTCCATCATCTATGGGGCTCAACACTATGTTGATGTAGCTGTCATGGAGTACTTCCCCACCACGCGCTTTGACAGGCCTCGGAGGTTAACTTAACCCTTTACAGAAAATACTCCACATTAATGATCCACATCGTTTTCCTCTGTTTTCCTCACTCTGAAATCCTCGGCTTTCACTCAGCAGATACTGGCCGGTCATCGAGGATGCCATCAAGACGGCCGCGTTCGAGAGGAAAGTGCAAATCAGGATGCTGATCAGCTGCGGGCGGGATTCTGATCCAGACATGTTGCCTTTTCTTCAGTCTCTAGCCTCACTCGACTCTCCTCAGCAGCATATCAGCATCCAGATAGTAAGACGCAACATGGGATACATGAAACTCCTGAAGATGATTGCCACTATTTAAAAAAAAAATTGTGTTTACGCTCCTTTCTTTTTTCAGAAACTCTACATCGTCCCAGTGGCAAACCAGTCCGATATTCCATTTTCCAGAGTCAACCACAACAAATACATGGTGACTGATAAAGTAGCTTATATCGGTGAGAAACACAGTTATTCTACAAATGTGTCGTTGCTCTAAGTCAGTTGATGGAATCTCTGACCAGGTTTATGCTCTGCTGCTACCCAGGTACCTCTAACTGGTCAGGAGACTACTTTCTTACCACCGCTGGAGTGGGCCTGGTGGTGTCCCAGCATGCATCTCAACCTGAAATGAAGAATACGACCCTGTACAGTCAGCTCAAGGCAGTATTTAACAGAGACTGGTATTCAGAGTTTGCTGTGCTCCTCGATGACCTGGGACACCACCCAGACTGTTCACTATCGAGATGACTGAAGCTCTTTTATGAATCTTAAGTGCATTTCATGACATTCAAATCCCAGTTGGGACACAGTATTCTGCTGTTTTTATGACCTTTTTGTCAGGAACGATATTTTTAATACAACTGTCACATATGTTAATTAACCTACTACATGTGTCATGCTACAGTTCTGACTGAACATGTTTTAGTACATGTGCAGTCAGATTTACAATGTTCTTTCAGGCGCAGTGTGATCATTCACTGCTGAGCTGATTGTTTTAAAGCATGATTAATGAATATCAACCATTGAGTGCATTTTAATGTCATGGTTAAATATGTAAACATGCATGAGACTTTTGTGTACCTGTGGCTGCAGTATCTAAGTAACACTGACCAGCACAGCACTACAAGGCCATGCTTACACCTGCTGGTCTGATCAGATAAGCCCAGGTTTGATGGGGAAAGTCATCAAAGAAAGGCTGAGAAATCCACCAACTTTTGCCAGCACAGGAATATTGGTTGAATGCGCCAGCACAATCCTGGAGTTACAGGCAAGGGCAGTGGAAGCTGCAGCTGTGCAATAAGAACCTCATCTTTGTTTCTGATATGTTGCATGGATGTCCTCTGTTTGTTTGTGTCTGCAATTGTTCAGTTTGTTGGTAGATTTTTGTACTTTTGTTTGTGTTGGTCTTTGTATATGTTTCCACCCAAGTGTTGGAGATGCTGTCAGATGGGGTGAGATCTCACACTATACAGCAGCTTCCTGTGGGGTACCGCTTGGACTGCTGATCTGTTTTGCATAAAGAACAGTGTAATAAAGATATGGTGGGAAGGAAAAGAATCTGATCTTTAGACTTTTTTTATAGTGTCAGTTCACAACAGTCGCTTTGAGATGCTTTAACTTCGTGAACCATAGTGTAAGGTGAGGACACCATAGATTAGAGAGAAAACTCAAACAATCAGACGATGCACCATGAAGAGCTTTTGGGAAAAGTGGGGAGGAGGAACTCCCCTTTAACAAGAAGACACCTTTGTCAGTTAGCCAGGTTCAGGAAGACACCGTCATCTACAGTGACCTGTTGGGGATTCAAGGGAAAGAGAAGAGAAGAAAGAGAGCATAGATAGACAAACAAAAAACAAAGTATGGTGGGGAGAATGCCAAGGCTATCTTGGGGAGGTCCCCAGTTGCCTGAGTCTATAACGACATAATTGAGGGACACCTGATCCAACTCCAACTGTAAAAGTCATTAAAAGTTGGTGTTAAGCCTAATCATAAAAAAGAGAGTGTTCCTGTCTCCTGAATCCAAACTAAGGTTTCCCAACAGCACAACATCCTGACAGCTGAAAGCTCTTCTTTGCAATTTGCTTTTGGAAACCCGAGAAAAACACAAGTAAGCCTGGAGTCTGAGAAGGCAGTGGTCTATTGGGATCATATGCGACTGTGAGGTCTTAAAATATGATAGAGCCTGATCATTCAGAAATATGTAAAGTAAGATTGGTGTTTTGGGTGAGCTTTTTCTCTCTTCTTCTTTCAGTGACCTCTGTACAACAAACATAGTCATTTGTTTTGCAGGCTAGCTATAGTTGAGAGAACAATGTCACACACTACCTCTGTATCTGTATCGGGCGATCGTGGCTCAAGAGTTGGGAGTTCGCCTTGTAATCGGAAGGTTGCCGGTTCGAGCCCCGGCTTGGACAGTCTCGGTCGTTGTGTCCTTGGGCAAGACACTTCACCCGTTGCCTACTGGTGGTGGTCAGAGGGCCCGGTGGCACCAGTGTCCGGCAGCCTTGCCTCTGTCAGTGCGCCCCAGGGTGGCTGTGGCTACAACGTAGCTGCCATCACCAGTGTGTGACTGGGTGGATGACTGGATATGTAAAGCGCTTTGGGGTCCTTAGGGACTAGTAAAGCGCTATATAAATACAGGTCATTTATCAGCTGACGGCGGAATTTATGGATATTAATGTACAAATGTTTCCTTTAAAACAGGGCTGCCCAATCCCAGTCCTCGAGAGCTACCGTCCTGCAGCTTTTAGATGCATCCCTACTCCAACACAGCTGAATCAAATGGTTTGGTTACCTCTTCAGCATGCCATCGTGTTTGGCAAAGGCCTGATAACAAGCCATTCATTTGATTCAGCTGTGTTGGAGTAGGCATGCATCTAAAAGCTGCAGGATAGTAGCTCTCGAGGACTGGGATTGGGCAGCCCTGCTTTAAAACTTCTTACAAAACAAGTGTCATTGCTTGTTTTTGCCCTCCCGAACAGTAGGCGGCAGTGTGAGGTAAAGCTATCGCGCACAGGTCATGAGGTCGCAGGGCGGGGCTTCGGCTTGTGCAGTAGGCTACGTGTGCTTCACAGCAGTTAGCTTGCGGTTAGTGAGTTAACACCACAACTGAAGTCAGAGACATGGTGCTGCTGGAAAATGATTCGGTAAGAGCAAATATACCTCGTTAATAACTCGGCCTGTTGTTGACTATGCGATAGAAGTAGACATTGTATTCTTTAGCTGTCGTAAAGCTAGCTTGCTAATAGCCACAATGTTAGACACGCCAGTAGGCAGATTGAGATTAGCAGTTAGCTCTGAAGCTAAGACTGGTCTTAGACTTTAAAGTTGTACTTTCTGGCATAATTTGATTGTTCAGGTCAAAACGGAGCTAACCGAAATCCGTAGGTTCTCAGCCAGGTGTTGTTAACATTATCTCCAGCTGCCACTTGTTAAATTGGATTACACTTAGCTAAACTTTTGCAGTTTTGTGGAGCAGTGCAGTAGCATTAAATGCTTGAAATGTCTTGTCCTCTCGTCTCCTTTTATGTATTAGCGTAAGATTAGCAATAGTGAAAATAAGTAATAAAAATCTTATTGTTACGATTAGGATTAACGGTTTCATAAAATATTACTAGTAAAGCAGTCTGTATCATCTATCGAGGCCAATTCTCTAATCGGTACTTTTAAATAAAATAATCTGGATCCACACCGAATTTAAACTAATTCTTCCTCCACCAATGCTTCACCTTCTCACCAAGTTTCATGAAATTCGGCGGTGTAGTTTTTACATAATCTTGCTGACCACGCTTAAACTACTTTGCATGACTGTTAGCTTGATTTCACATCTTTTTTCTTTCTCCTCCTGTTGTCCAGTTTCTCACAGAGCTGACACGGCTCTTCCAGAAATGCAGAACATCAGGCAGTGTTGTCATCACATTAAAGAAGTGTAAGTGGGTTTTTCTAAAAGCGACAACCAAGCTGTGAATTTCCATGTTTCAAAATGTATTTATTTATATTTATGCAGTTTTAATAAGAGTCTTTCATTCTTCCAGATGATGGGAGAACCAAACCGGTGCCCAGAAAGGGCCACGCGGAGTCTTTTGAACCTGCAGACAACAAATGTCTCCTCAGAGCGACTGACGGCAAGAAGAAAATTAGCACAGTGGTGAGTTGCTTTAAGATTTAAATTTTGAGATGCTTTGCCGTCCCCACAGCTGGTTAATCCTGATTTTTCACTTATAATTTCAGGTCAGCACCAAAGAAGTTATCAAATTTCAGATGGTAGGTTGAGCAAGTTTTCATCTAAAATCTTTTTTGATCTCCATATAAGACTGAAACTACCATATTTTTCTTAAAGTTTTGCCTCTTTGATAAATCCACCATTTGTACTTCTTTCATTTTCAGGCGTACTCTAACCTCCTCAGAGCTCATATGGATGGACTTAAGAAGAAAGACAAGAAAAGCAAAAGCAAGAAAACCAAAGCCACCCAATGAGCAAGAGACTCTAAGACAACCTTGGGTACCTAAACTGGTTCGCACTATCTGAGGGGAGTGGGAGAGGGCTCCATGTGATCTGCAGCCCCCAATCTGCTTTCCTCCCATTCATTCGAGGCCTCAGATTCACGGACTGCTTTGATATTATGCCATTGTTTGCATGATAACATCTCATCCCTGACTGCCCAGTGCCATTTGGAACAGAAAACTGAGGATTTCTCATTCATCATCTCCACCATTTCTGCTTCGGGACCAGATTCTCAAAAGTTCTGCTGCCTCTGGAGCCCGATGATTAACAGCCCTTCACTCTATTTAATTGTTAGAGCATATTTATGTTATGTTGCCAGCTAAAAATAAAAGTTGTGCTAGCTCATTCTAATTCAGCTGGTTTTAGATGTTTCATTTTTTCTTTTTTCATGAAATTGGATTTAAATGTCAGTTTGAGTTTTCACGTAGAACCAAATGTCCTGTTTTGTTTTTCTGGTGGGGTCAAATGTCATGTACTGTATTTTTATTTTTTTATTATGTCTTTAGAGGCACAACTAATATTCTAGTCACTGTTTTTACATACCGATACCAAGCTGTTAAACTGGCTGTCTTAAATACTTTAACACCAATATGTATATTACAGCTTCAGCTAATGTCTGAATGATGTCATGATTTGGTTCAATAGTGCAGAAAATGTTGAAAGCTGCAGATTTACTGAAAGCATGTTTGAGTTATAAATACAGAGAGGAGTATTGGCTGTAATTCAGATGCCTTTTTTTGTTTATCACAATCACAAAGCATGTTTGACTGCAGCCAGAAAATGTTTCCACCCATTTGTGTTTGTCCCACCGTGATACCAGAGTCCTGCTCTCATACAAGAGGACAGCAGCAGAATTTAAATTCAAAAATAAAGTGCTTTCTAAACAGTCACAGCTCGTTTTTGTCTGTTGAAATACTAAAGGACCAAACGTGAGCAAGACGGAAAACATTACGGTTAATACGCTATTTACAAACTGCATTTTTGTGCTGTACTGGTGATAACAGTCTGTGTGGCGTTTAAAAGAAGTGCTGTCTCATAGCGCTGTGTTTCTCTTGTCCGGTCTTTCCTTCGGGGATAGCGCGAGCTGGCGCTGCCGGGCGCTCTCTTCCTGGTATCCCTGGTTCATGAGGCTGGTCACAAACTGGAACATGGTCTGGATCAGAAACAATAAGCATTACACACATGCTGACCCTTGAAGTGTGAAGCTTTTGTCATCAGGTTTTAGCAGTCCCCTCCTCTTCTGTGTGTAATTTAATACACACTTTCACAAACTTACTGCACTGTGAGATAAAGGTCTTTGAGAATCACCTTGTTGGTGAAAACATTTCATGTCTTTAAACTGGTATCTTTGGCATTTTTAAAAAGGTTTTGCTTTGCCAATTCAGACAAAGACATGGGAACAAATCGTTTGTTTTATTTGACAGGCTTCTAGTAACAAAGGGCCTAAAGATACGATTTAAAATGAGTTCATTGCTAAATTACCTGTTATGTGTGGACATAACACTCCCCAAATCCCTCAATTTAAGCTTCTTTTTTGTGCTTGAATGATTCATAGGTTAGTATTAAGTGGCTTAAGAAACACACACACAGAATACAAAACATTCCTCTGAAAATGTTAAGGCAGGACTTGACTGACGTTTTGCAAATGTATTAGCAGATTATGAACTTTAAACTTTGCTGACGTGTGACAAACCAGCATTAGCCACTAGAGAGCAGGAGAGGGTCAAAATGGAAAAGGATGCACAGTTTTTATGTGGATATTATACTTTAGATCTAAGCATTTGGATTTTTCTTTACAGCTGTTAAAACGTTTCTCTCTGGGCAGCGTCAGCAATCTTTCATTTAAAAAAACAAAAACCTCTTAGAGTGATAAAACTCGTCGTGACAGAAACACTTTCCACTTGCTCAGCACCCTCTTGCATGGTTCAGTGAGATGTAGATTTTACCATCAGTCAAACTTGTGTTGCATTAGTCTCCATCTTGACATGTAACGCGGAGCATTAAGGAAGGGAGTCGAGCAGGAACCAGCGTTGCTGCTGTGATGGTCGCAGCCATCACATCTATTCCACGAGGTTATTTAACCAGAACGGGAGGTGGAGAGACTCACAGGTCACAGGCTCCTTACCTTCCACGCCTCCTCCAGCTCGGCCGTCCACCTCTCCTTCAAGATGGGCTGCACGGCGCAGATGAATTCTGCTCCGACATACTGGGGAAAAATTAATAAATAAATAAAAATAATAATGTGAGATGCTAATGTGCTCGTGGATTGTTATGTGCTATTTGCAAGAGCGGGTGGGTAAAGCATTTTTGCAGATTGGGGATGTGCGTCAGCTAATTCGGCTGCTGTGACTTTAGGGGTCTCGTTATATAATGGCTAATAAAGCGCTACACCATCAGCACAAATTAAAAAATATGTGTACGCCTCTCCAAACAAAGCAGCATCACACACAAACAGACAGCAGCTCAAAGCTGTTGGGGATCATCGGGGGCCTTACGCTGTAGTACTTAGGCGGGGCGTTGTAATGATAATGGCTTTTCCCCAGCTCCAGAGCCAGAGCCTCCAGTCTGTCCAGCTGGTCCAGTCTAGCCACACTTTTTTCAATAAAAGACATCACCCTGCAACAGATTGAAAAACACACTCAGCTTTATCGATCCACCATTCAGTCGTGAATTAGCAGGGAGCAACTATCAGGTGATGCGCATCCACTGTAGATGACACTCGTCTGTGCTGAAAGGCTGCAGACTCTCATGCCAATGAGAATATATAAGATCGATGTGCATCTATCAGTTCCTCTGAGCTGAAAGCCAACCAGCTCCTCTCACAATACTTTATCCCTCCCCGAAGACAAATATCTCTCTACATAAAAGAACACAGTATCAGTTTTCTTTGTTTGTGTGTGTCTGTCTGTTTGCTGTAAAATATGTGTTTGATAGCCTCAAAGATGGAACAAAGGATGAGAGCTGATTTAGCTCCCTCCTAGTTCTGTCTCGCAGCCAAACCTGGACATTGGTGCCGATCCCCAACAAGTGCACCTGAAGAGCCATTTGGCTGTAGCGGTGAATTTATGAGCTGCTGGTTCAGGCTGGAATTCCGCCTGCGCCGTGGCTGCAGCAGCCCCACGCTACCCTCTGCACCTTCGGGTCCTCAGGCAGTAATTGGGTGTTTTGGCCTCATGTGTAGAAAAACACAGAGAGGCACGATGCACGCTGGGAAACAGCGACAAGTGCCAGTGATGGATGTTATGAGCTCCTTCTGCTTTGGACTGGAAAGCACCGAGTGACACTCTGATTATATGATAACCTGTGGTTTATTGTTATGGTGTGTGATATGCACAACATGGTTTAATCATCTGTTCTTGTTATTCTAGAACATAAGTCTTGTGATGAAGTTCTTTTGTGGTCTAAAAACGATCGTTGCCACATGAATGTACCTCATGTGGGTGATGTGTTTCTTTCACTTCAAGAAATATGGACATTTATTTGAGTTTGTGTCCCCCCCCCCACACACACACACCGCCCTAAATACCCATTAGAGCACAGGGTGCTTGGACCCTAGTGGATATTTCCCCTAGGGGCTGTCTGGAAGATTTTTGGAGCTTTTTTTAAAATATGTGAAAAACAGAAATAATTTGCTTTTAGGCGGTAAGCACAATCAAGTTATGAAATAGGCCCATTTGTTGCTACACATGGATTGAACAATATTAAGAGAAGGATGCACGCGTCACTGATGTTTTATCATTTGATTTATGAAAAGTCATGCGGTTGTTTTTTTGGAATCGGAAACCTTTACCGCATGAATGAATCATTTCCTATTCAGTCGATTTCTATTTTTTTTTCCACTTGGTGTGTTTTATATAACATAAGTGTCATCTATTGTGGGATTTCCCACATACCGTCACCAGTCTGCTGTATCCCACTGTTATATTTGAAAATGCTCACCTAGAACACAAGTTCAGCTACATTACCTAAAGTGTTATTTCTGCAGACTGTATTTTCAAGAGTGCTTTCAAATTTATGTGAAGTGCTTCATAAAAGATCTCCACGCTGTAGCTGCTCAATAATAGTTATATATCTATCTATTAGGGGTGCAACGATACACAAAATTCACGGTTCGGTTCGGTTCGATACTTTGGTGTCACGGTTCGATATTTTTTCGATAAAAAATGTTCATGCATTTTTAATTTGTCATTTATTAAAATTATAAATATATATTTTACAGTTTTTAAATTTAACCCTAACCATTGTGCGTGTTTTTTATTTTGACAGCGAATGCGCACCTGCGGACCACTTATGTGCAGCCCTGGTTATTTAGCTCGTCATATTGCAGCCACAGAAATTCTTTTGTCCATGAAACCATAAAGCTGCACTTTCTTTTTGCCTTATAGTCTGATTTGTTATAACTTCTCCGTTTTGTGGTAAGCTTTTCTTTGGCTGTCACT